CTGTTGTACTTCGTTTGTTTGTGTGCTGAGAACAGACAGTTGAGGAGGTGGGGTCCTGACAGTGCAGCACTGAGTTTGGAGGGGCGCGACTCATTCCACAGGTGGGCGTGGCGGTGTTGGAATAGTAGCGACGTGCAAAAGTGAACGGCGACATTTGGGGTAGTAAAATAATTAGCAGAAGACAGTTTGAACAATAACATTACAGAAGGAATTCTCAAAATTAGAAGACAGTTTGAAAGATAAATTGCCGGAAGATTTGGGATTTAATTAATATTTTAGAAGGTAAGATCGCGAATTCTAAGACATACAGGCCAGCTTTAATAATAAAATAAAATTTTGAGAGTAAACGTAAAATTTTGTCGGGTCTTTTAAGTAGAGAAAATTCTACGGAGTTACAAGACAAAATAACAGATATTGGGGAAGATGTAAATAGAAAAATCAGAATTTTAAGGAAGAAATAGCAGAAGTCAAATTCACCAAATGTCAAGAAACATCGGAGGGACGGAAACTAGTCGAAAATAGGTATACCTCAAAATCAGTTATGAAACCTCTGCAGTTTGACGGAAAAACCACTTGGACCAACTCTTTTTGCCAATTTGAAGCCGCTGCGAGAGCAAACGGCTGGGCAATCGCTGAAAAAGCTACCGCTTTGACTATCGCACTGCGAAGAGATGCGACTGATATCCCGCAGACACTGTCACCATCGGAACAAGGAGATTATCAGCAATTGGTACGACTTTTAGAAATGAGGTACGGCGAAGCTCATTTGGAACATGTCTATCATTCCCAGCTAAAGAATCGCATTCAAAAGTCATATGAGTCTCTGCAGGAGTCTGAAGGCGATGTAGCCCGTCTCGTTCGCGTTGCGTACCCTGCTATGCCAGAGAATGTTATGGAACGGTTGGCAGTACAGGCATTCTCCGACGGCTTACGTGACAACGAGACAAGACAAGCGCTTCTCCTAGCCCACCCAGCGCACTTGGTGGATGCTTTAGCACGTGCCCTAGAATTTGAGGCCGAGAAACAAAGTTCTCGGTCTTTTGGAAGAGTACGGGCCATCTACGAATGTTCCGACGAATCAGTGGAAAGCATTGTACGGAAAGTCGTGGAGGAGTACATGGGCAGGAAAGGACCGACTTGTTGTTGGAATTGCGGCCAGGCAGGACACGTAAGAAGCCACTGTAAAGAAAAGGACGTGGACCTGGTTTCGCCAAGTGTCGAAATGAAGGGGCACACGTCGATCTGTACCCAACATGCCCTAACGAAAACTGTTCAAGTCGCATCGCTACAATACAAGTTCAACAGCATTTTGTGGATGGTTTCGTGGATGGAGAGTTACGGACCATGCTTTTGGATACAGGTGCGACCAAAACGATCATCAGGCCGGATATCCTTAAAACATCAAAAGGATTAAAAACAGCACAATATAGCGTTTACGTACAGCTACAGAGGCTCCGGCCTGTGGAGATGTAGATCTTAATTTTGTTATAGGAAGCACCTGTTTTAATCATCGGGTGTTAGTAGCAGACATCGAAGTTGAACTTATTCTCGGAATGGACATCATGACCACTAGAGGTTTTGAGCTAAACCTCAAACAAAAGATTTTGAAATGGTAGAGGAAGAAGTGGTTTCTGCATCGAAATGGGAGCACTTCGCGTAGGTGGTAACAGAAGATATTTTTCGTCGCAAGGCGCTGCTTGGGAGGATTTTTGGATGGTTGCCGAGAAGGTAAAATGAATAATGGGAGGATTATTCTGTTGGAGCCAAAGAACCATGACAGGAAATGGGACGAAGGGATCCCGCTGTTGGGAAAACCTACTACGAGCGAAATAACCGGTGGAAGTAATG